AGGTAGACTGGTAAGAAACCAGGGAATAGCAGTACTTCCTGTCAGCTGATTACTTTTGATTGTCTTAGGGAATTTTCTGATCTCAATAGTAATGATTACATAACAATAAAAGACCAGATATAAAACAAAATCACCAGAGTTTTAGTAAGCAGAGGTTTCTAGAATTCCAATATATAAGAAGTTCTGGGCCCTGGATTTAGCTCAGTGGTTTCACCGCCTGTTGCGCAAGTGCAAGGACCTGAGTCCAATCCCTGGTACCAAAAAAAAAAAAAGCTTCTGCACAGCAAGAGAAACCACTAACAGAGCTAAGAGACAACCTACAATGTGGGAAAAAAATTTTAGCAGTGGTACCTCAGATAAAGGTCTACTATCCAGAATATATAAGGAATTGAAAATAATCAGACCCCCCCCCAAATTCAAAGACCCAGCTCAAAAATGGGCATCTGAAATGAAGAGACATTTCTCAGACAAAGAAGTAAAACCAAATAAATATATGAAAAAATGTTCAAATTCACTGGTCATTCAAGAGATGCAGATGAAAACAACACTGAGATTCCAACCTCACCGAAGAAAGAATGGCTGCTATCAAGAAATCAACCAATAACAAATGCTGGTGGGGGTGTGGAGAGAAAGGAGCCCTTCTCCATTGTTGGTGGGAGTGCAGACTGGTGCAACCACTGTGGAAATCAGTATGGAGATACCTCAAAGAACTAGGGTTAGAGGTCCCATTTGACCCAGCTATTCCCCTGCTGGGTATCTTCCCCAAAGAATTAAAAGAATCATACCACAGCGATATATGTCCACCCATGTTTATAGCAGCACAGTTTGTAACAGCTAAAGCTTGGAAGCAGCCCAAGTGCCCATCAACTGGAGACTGGGTAAAGAAGATGTGGTTTTTTTATAAAATGGAGTACTACTCAGCCATAAAGAATGAGAAACTAGAGTCATTTATAGCTAAATGGATGCATATTGAGGCCATCCTCTTAAGTGAAATAAATAGGACACACGTGTGTAAATACCGAATAGTTTCTCTAGTGTGAGAAACTGATAGTGTAAATAAGGATTAAAATGAATAATTCATAATTTGAAATAGGAAAAGGTCCAAAGGGGTAGGGGAAGTGGGAGGGGAAGGGGAAAGGGAAGAAAGGAAAGGAAAGGAAAAATTATGAGAAAGAAAAAAAAATGGAAACAAAATTTATGTAAATAGGGAAGGGTGGAGGCGTGAAGGGCGCATAGGTAACGGGGAAAAAAATAACCAAGATACATCATGTACAGGTACAAACACCCAATGATAAATGTAAACATATTGTAGACCTAAGATGTACCAATAAAAGAATTTTTTAAAATTAATTGTAAATGAGTATGTGCTAAGCAAATTGAGTGATGCCATTTTTGTAAAGTTGTTCACATGAATAATAAATACTCTTGATGAGAAAAAAGCTATAATGACATTCCATCTCATCTCAGAATGGCTATCATCGAAAATATAGAAAATAGTAAATGCTGATGTGAATGCTGGGAGAAAGGAACCCTTCCATATTGTTGGTGGGGATCAATTAATACAGCCATGATGGAAATCAGTATGGAGGCTCCTCAAAAGACTAAAAATATAACAACCATGTGGTGCAGATATACCCTCCTTATTATATACCCAAAGGAATTAAAGGCAGCATACTATAGAGATGCTTGCATATCATGTTTATTTGGGCACAATTCACAATAGCCAAAGTACGGAGGCAGCCTAAGTGCCCATCAACAAATGAATGAATAAAGAAAATGTGGTGTATATGCACAATGGAACATTAGTTGGCCATAAAGAAGAATGAAATGACATCACTTACAGGAAAATAGATGGAACTAGATGTCATGTTAAATAAAATAAGCCAGACTCAGAAAGACAAAATCACATGTTTTCCCTAATGTGTAGAATCTGAGAATGATGACATAAAAATAGAAAGAATCCTAATATTAGACAAGGAGAGGGGAATGAAGGGGTAAAGGAGGGTAAAAGGGTGATAGATGCAATCAAAATATGTACATGTATGAAAATGTCATGTTGAAACCCAATATTTCATAAAATTAATAGGCACTAATAATTCTATTAAAATAAAACTACATTGAAATTCCATCTCACCCTAGGGAAAATGGCTACCATCAAGAATATAAAATCAAGAAATGCTCATGAGGATGCAGGGGGAAAGGAATCCTTCTATACTGTCAGTGGTAATGTAAATTATTAGAACTACTGTAGAAATCAATATGAAAGTTCCTCAAAAAACTAAACCTAGAGCTACCATTTGATCCAGTTATACCACTCCTTAGTGTATTCCCAAAAGAATTAAAGGCAGCATACCACAATGTCTACCTGCATGCTCCTATGGCAGCACAATTCACCATAGCCAACATATGGAAGCAACCTAGATGCCCATCGAAGGATGAAAGCACAAAGGAAATATGAGTTATATGCACATTAGAGTGTTATTGTGCTGTGAAGAACAAAATCATGTCATTTGCAAAAGTACTGGATAGAACTAGAGATCACGTTAAGTGAAATAGGCCAGACTCAGAAACACAAAGATTGCGTGTTTTCCCTAATATATCAAATCTGAAAAGCAAAGCAAAGATGACATGAAAGCAGAAGAGATGCTATTATTAGACAATGAAAAGGGAATAGAGGAAGAGTACTAGGGTGTAAGGGAGTATAACAGAAGAATAGACATGATCAGCGGACGTATGCATGTAAGGACCACAATGAAACCCAATATTTTGTAAAATTAATATGCATTAATTTTAATTAAAAGTTTGAGTAAATTTTAAAATATTAGGACATGAATCAAAGGAAGAGCCAACATGTCTTGGTGAGGGTGAGACATACCATGAAAGCATGCTGACCGGGGCATAGTGAGGACCGGGGTTAATGTCACCGGCAAAGGAGAGGTGGTGAAGGTCAACTTCAGGTAAAGCCAAGGTGAGATTCAGGCCGGGGTCAGGATCCAAGTCAGGACACACACTAAGGTCTAGTTCAGCATCAGGACCAGGGAGAGGGTGAGAAGCACAGACAATGTCACTGTGAGATTCAGGGTCAGGCATCTGTCACGGTCAAGGTTAAGGTGGGGGGGAACAGGGTGTTAGAGTCGAAGGTGAAATAAAGATGAGTTCCAAGCTGAGAATCGGCTCCAGAGTTTGGATCAATGTCAGGACGAGACTAAGACAAGGCTATGTTGTAATATTTACCTGTTGCTAACAACCTTATCTAACAGTGAGTCAGGCACTGCTGTAACAAAAGAAACGTTGTTCTTTTTGCTAATTCTTGTTAATTTTCTTCAGGAGTAGTAATGGATTTGGGGAGTTTTACTGCTTTGGTACCTTTTATCTTTATTATGGACCATCAGGTCCTAATGATTCGTACCACCTCTGAAAAGTAAAAATATTCCAAATGTTACTTCTAGGTAGACTTAGGACTAGACATTTAGGTGATAAGAATGTAAGAACATGCAGTGCCATTAAACAGTTTTTCTGTCCTAAAAAATTTTTTTTGCAACATCTCAATTTCAAACACTAGTTGGAACAAAGTTCAGATGTTGAACTTCCTACCCACTGTAAGAATCCTTTCTAACACATCTCTGCTGATTGACAACTTCCTCTGAACACATGAGAAATGATTAACTAAATAATTCCCAAGCCTGGACAATTCTAAATTTATGGAAAGACCGCCTTTGTGAATTGAGCCCAAAGTAGCTTCAGACCATATTTTTTAGCTGTGCTGCTCAAAGCAACAATGTAAATATAACTTTTTCATAGGTTCCTCCATCATTCTCTCCCACACATGCATACTAATCCAGGTCTTTTTGCAAAGGTGGGGCTGTAGTCCCCATTAACAAACAAAGATTTTCTGGAAATTACAACAGGAAAAACCCTCAACCATACCTGGAGGGGCTCACGGCCTATTTCCACGGAAGCCACCTCTCTCAGTGAGTCTGGGGCCACCTCACACCTCCAAGGGTGGAAGAATGGCTGGGGACACTAAGCTGATTCCCTCTTTACCCTGAACAAGACTGTAAAACAAAAAGGGGTAGCGTTCACAGACAGGAAGAAAAAGCCTTCCAGCGACAGGAACTAGGGAACAATCCCTTCCAGACCCAGGCTCTTCTCCAGAACAGGGGACACAGAGAATCACTGCAGTGGCAGGTCCTGGCACACACTCTGCACCACGTCCGACTGACCTAGCCTCCTCGCCCACCCCTCCTGCCTGTGAATCCTTCCTGTGTGGGCCACAGCCTCTCAGACACACAACCCTGCAGGCAAAATTTTAAACATGAAAAGGGCTCGGTATGTAACTCAGTGCAGACCTCTCCTTGGCTCTATCCCCTGTGCTGGACCGGGGAGGAAATTCATTTTATTTTTTCCAAGCTCAAGAGCCTGGCTCGCCCTAGTTCTACCCCATAGCCCTTAAATAAGAGTATGGAAGCCTGAGAGAAAAGTTGGAGCAGCAGGGAAGTCCGGTCAGGGATCTGGGGCTGAGGGATGGAGAAGGCAAGGATAAGGGATTTCAGGTCTGAAGTATAAGGAGCTTGCTGCACGGCTCCCAAGATGCATCACAACTCAGCACTACTGCGATACTCTGGGTTTGGGGAGTCAGAAGATCCTAGAGCATTATCAGGGCTGAGAGAAGGGGATTACAGCATCAAGGCAGTGGATCTGGTGCAGAATGAACGAGGAGATGGGCAGTTGCTTCCTGCTAGATGAATGCATCACAGAAACCCAATCTCTGAAGGGCTTCTGTCCCCTTTTCTATCACTCTCCTTGGCCCAGCACTTTCTCTTTAGGCCCTGCTTGCCTGGCCCATCCTTCACCCTATGTTAGTATGCCCAGGGGTCACTAGAACTGCTCGCCTCTGCTGCTGCTTTGAGCTCCCCAAGATCATATCTAAGAAGGAGAGTTGAAGGAAGAGGGACCAATTGCCTTCACAAGCCAAGGCAAAACAATGAAAAGCCAGGAAGTTCAGACAAAGTAGCATTTATTGGGATGTCAAAGTAGAGTAATACCATAAAGGACCATCACCCAAGGACAGGAAGAGCACAGAGCACGATTTCAGGGCTCTTAGACAGGAAGGCCCAGGCCTCTGGGCTAGGAGGAAGGCACTGCATTGCTCAAATCCTCATGGGACTCCAGGCAGGCCCTGTATTTGGCTAGGAAAGGACTGGCCAGAGTCTTCAGCTCTTGCCGAAGTTCCTGCAGAGCTCTGTCTTGGTCTTGCTTCTCCCCTGTCAGTCGCTTCCTGTAATAGTTGATGTAGATGTTCACCCAGTCATCCACTACCACTACCATGTCTTCTTCTGTGATAAGAGGATAATTAAAGACCTGGGGGTGGGAGGCAGGTGAGAGAGAATGAGATTCAAGCATGTCAGAATAGTCTCACAAACTCCTACATCTTCTTTTCTCTAATGTGTATTCCCTGTCCTCAGCTCTTTCCATCAACTCCACCATTTCCCTCACAGCTTCCAATTATTCTCCCTTCCCTGCCCTCACCTTGACACACACTCTCCAGGTCTGTCCCTTGAAACCCAGTGTATAGCCAGCCCCCTTACCTGCTGGTTCAGCAGAACGCTGAATTCCTTCATTCCCAGAGCAATGAGATCCTTATTGGCCTGAAGAAGAGCCATCTGCCTAGAGAAAGAGGTAGAATTTAAATATCCTTTTCTCTCACTCTTGGATGTTTCCCCAATCATCTCACTCCCCTTAAAGAAAGATAACTCATCCCCAAAACCCTTCAAATCCTGCTCTGCCCTGAGCTCACATTTCCCCCAAGCTGGACTCACCTTCAGATCCAACAGCTCAGTTTGTCTCACCTACACACTTAGGGTATGCAGCTACTTTGAGTTAAGCTGGGTGCAGGCAAGGACTCAGTGTCAGCTTGAAAAGGAAACGCCCTCCAACGAGGTCCTGAGGGGGGATGATAGGTCAGCTTGGGTGGAGAATGAGGGTGAGGCTTCCTTGGAGTGAGGAAGATAGGGAGACTAAGAAAGACAGATAAATGAGATCCAGAAAATGCACAAACCAACCTGAAACATATGCTTGCCTCCTGTCCCACAATCCAGTGGCCCAGTTCCAAAGGCTAAGGAAACCAACAGCAAGGCCCCTGCTGCCTGGCAGGCATGTTTGCATCCTTGCCACAGTGGAAGGCAGTCTACTGTCCCAATCCAGAGATGGTATAGTATGAGCAGCTTCCATTCCATCTATTCATTTGTGCCCAGCACTGTTTCAAGCATGCATTCATCATTATTGTAAAAAAAAAAAAAAAAGTCCTTTTAGACACATTTTGCTGATGAGCCATCTGTAAGATATAGGGAGTGGACTCTATTAGCATGTGCTCCCCAAGAATGGAGATGCGTTAGTCTTGTTCACCACCATATCACCAAGTACTCAATAAAGCAGAGGTACTTTTTTTCTTTTTAAATAGTTTTCTTAATGTCTGTTTTCAACATATTTGTATCATTTTTGCCCCTATCATAGTAACCAGCATTAAAGCTGTGTACACTTACTCAAGATCTCCCTCGTGAGTGTGACCATGGACAGAGCCTGCATTCAAAGTACATTCTTCTGGTGGAATTCATTCATAGAAGTTGGCCCAAGACTTGAGCACATTCACAGAAGGTAACATTAAAATTGCAACACAATGTTTGCAACCCTTTAATTTTTTGCTCTACCAGGACACTTTAAAAAAATTTTTTAGGGCCAGGGATTTAGCTCAGTGGTTCAGCCACCTGCCTTGCAAGCACAAGGTCCTGAGTTCAATCCCCCATACCAAAAAAAAAAAAAATTGTTTAATGTATTCAGTTTTATCGCAGTCTCTTAGAGACTGTGTGTGAGTGTCAGATAAGGCGAGGTGGGGTAGAGAAGGGTGTTCTAGGCTGAAGTCCACGAGGAAAGTGATAGTTCGCGAGGAACAGACGTTTAGGGAGTCACAAGCCGGGATCAAATGGGGGGTGGGGGGACAGTAACCATGCTAGTTTATTTTCTTATTAGAAAGAAGAGAGGATGCTTTTGGCAAATATCTACTGTGGTTTCATTACACTGCACTAGATGAAAGGGGAAGGGGAGAGGGAGAGATGGTTTGGGAGGGAGAGAAACACTCTCTTTAGACCCCCAGTGCCATGGGCCCTCTCTGCAGTTAAACACACGAGTTAAACACGAGAGCTTGCTCCACCTCCTTCCCTCCCCTCCCTCTCCTCCTGTTCCTCTCTCCAGGAAATCTGAACCCAGTGCCTTGGCACTGAGCTATACCTCCAGTACTATTTCATTTTACTTATCTATTTGGGTATTTTATTTTATTTATCTCCTTTAGTTTTTGTTTTTTTGGTACCAGGGATCAAACTCGGGACCTTGTGCATGCGAGGCAGGCGGTGTAGTATTTTATTTTATTTATCTCCTTTAGTTTTTGTTTTTTTGGTACCAGGGATCAAACTCGGGACCTTGTGCATGCGAGGCAGGCGGTGTAGTATTTTATTTTATTTATCTATTTTGGTGGTACTGAATGTTGAACCCAGAATCTTGAAATGTTACTTTTGTTCTCATTTTTGTTGGACTGTTGGCCATAGCAACCAGGAAGCTGAAGCTCTGGCTGACTGGTTTAAGAGTAAACGACCCTTGCCAGGTGGCGCAGGCCTGTGATCCCAGCGCTTGGGAGCATGGCAGGAGAATCGCCACAAGTTTGAGGCCAGCCCAGGCTACATAGTCAATTCAAGATCAGCCTGAGCTACACAATGAGACCTGGTCTCAAAAACAAAACAAAGCAAAAGAACAACCCTGCAGTTTTGGCTGACCGTGCAGCGCAGCTGTGCACACTGTCTGACCCTAAGATGTCATTATGTTGTATAGGGACATTTTTGGTCTGAGACCTAGTAAATGACTATAAATGTATTCTTACACTGAGGTCTTTTTGTTTCACTGTAAGTGGCAGCTTGTTTTGCTTCCCTCTGTCCCTCAGGCCTGCGAATGGCCAACTACTTCCCTAACACCCTCAAGCATTAACAGCTGCCTCACAGACCCAGTCCTAAATAATGAACTAGACAGGAGGCTGGACCAGGACTGCCTATCCTGCCAGCTCTGCCACCCCTGCCTCTCACTCCTAGTCCCCATCCCCACCTCTGTACAAACCTCCCAGCCCTTACCTTGTTTCCCTTTTCTATAAAACCTCAAAAAAGTTTCTGTCCGACACTGGAAGTCAGTATAGACGTAGAGGTTTTGAGCCGCTGTCTGCTCTCTGCATGGCCATGCTGATTAAAGCTTTCTCCTGCCCTTCACAAACGACTGCTGTTTGGAGGCCAGTGGCCAACCTCCTGTTGGGGCCCTCAAGCCTGAGCCTTCACCCGAAAGCTCCATGAACAGTCGCACATTCATTCATAAATATCTCCCAGCACCTGCTATAAGTTAGGCACTACTGGGGATAAAATAAAGAGTAAAATTATCATCCCTGGCTTCCCAGGAAAGAAGACCCTGGAGGCCCAGAGAAGGCCACTGACTTTCTCAAAGTCATACAGCTAAAAATTGAAGAACTAAAGGGGATCTCCAGCCCATTTCCCTAAAGGCGCTTTCTTTCCTTCTCCCCATTCCTTAAAGTTGTAGGGCACAAGGAATTCAGTCTTGGTCTTGTAGGGCCAAAGGGGCCCCACTGTTCCTGCAGCCTAGCTACAAACGAAAACAAGCGGGACCACTCCAGCAGTGTCGGGAGGCGGGCCAGGACGTCAAAGCACGTAGCAGTGTGATTTGCAAGCTGTAAAGAGGAAGATTGCCCCTCCGCAGCCGCCGTAGCCGAGCCGAGCCGGAAGCATCGTTTGCTGCGTTGCTTTTTCGGCAGTGCAGAGTAGAGAGCTCCAGGATGGCTGACGCGGCCGGTCAGGAAACCACGCTGTGCTCCGAGCAGTTCGGCTCCGGAGAGGCACGGAGCTGCCTTGCCTCAGCTGACGGAAGCCTGCAGTGGGAGGAGGAGGACTGCCCATGGTGGTGGAGGATCTCCCAGGCCTTCACCGCGAAACCCGAAGGAGGAGAGGAGGGCGGCCAGGGTTCCCCCAGGGCGGCGCTGCCACCTCTCTCAGGCCTCAAGGCCGTGTTTCTGCCTCAAGGCTTCCCCGAGAGCGTGAGCCCGGACTATCTGCCCTACCAGCAGTGGGATTCCGTGCAGGTTAGCCTGGCGCTCGGGGGCAGGGGCGGCGCATTGCTGGGGTCCCGGGACCGTGCAAGCCACTCCGCGCTCCGCGTCGGAGGCCGGAGCGATCGGTAACACGTCCCCAAGTCGCAGACCCGGGAGCGCTGATAATGGAATTTAGACCTCCCCGCTCCACGACCATCCGCCCTTCTTTTTCTCTGCAGGCCTTCGCTTCCAGTCTCTGCAGCGCCCTCGCCACCCACTCGGTTATGCTGGGCTTGGGGGTGGGGAACGCCGAAGCCTCGCTCGCAGCCGCCACAGCCACCTGGCTCGTGAGAGGTGAGCTGGACCCGGAGAGCCACCTGTCGCTCTCAGCCGTGCCCTCCCTCTCTCTGGTCTCACTGGCCTCTCCTTTCTGCTCAGATAGCGTTTGGGGCCGCGATGTGTGTCTATCTGCGCACTCCTGCGTGGTTAGGCAGGATACAGGAGCCATAGCGTTTGGGGCCGTGATGTGTG